CAGGCTAGGAGCCCTCAGCCACGTGTGGGTGGGTGGGTGGGCGGAGCTCTCAGAACCTTAGAGGAGCATCCGGGCGGCTCCTGCTCCACAGGCCCACAGTAACCACCAGCCAACTCTTGCCATGGCTCCTGCTGTCCCTACGGACTCATCGCAGTGATCCTGGGCCCCCAGCTGTGATGGACCAGGCAGATGTGGTTTCTAGTCTCCTAGAAGGCAAAAAGGAAGGACTCTGCACCTGAGTCCTCTGCTGTTTCTTCAGCTCAGATGCCACCTCTGTGCATTGGAAATTCTTCCCTCACCATCAGACCGTTCCAGGTTCCAGGAGTCAGTGCGGCTCCCAGCTCTCAGATGCCCAGGGCCTAGGCTGACTTGGGACTTTTCACTTGGGTGGCCCAGGTGGCTTTCCCACGGCAACCACAGGGCAGTCCTGCTGAGTTTCACGCCTGTGGCACCCAGGGTGCAATTGCGCATCTCTCTCAAGGCATCGAGGCTGAGGCAGGAGGCCGATGGCTTCAGGACTTCAGAGTAAGAGACAGGTCGGCATTTTAGGAAGAAAACCTTTAGGATCTCACTTTGCCAGTGACATCCGAGGCTCCTCTGCTGAAAGGCTTTGAAAGACTGGTGAAGTGAGAAGCAGGGCCAAGGGCTGGAGAGAACTCGGGAAACACAGGCTGGTGAGGAAGGGACAGAGGACGGGAAGTGGGACCTGGATCGCTGTGGTGGTTGGGGGGCAGGTAAGGAAGAGAGGGAGACAAAGCCCGAACCAAGAAGAAAAGGGGAGGATGGTAACACAAGGCAAAGAGAGCAGTGTGGGCAGGAAACGGGGTCAGCGTGGCCGGCAGACTGGTGATCACCGAGAGTCTTGGTGGGGGAGGGGGGAACATGAATGATGAATGAGTCGCGCCCGAGTCTGTGATGGTGGCTGAGGCTTTTCTCTGGTGGCTTCGCTCCTAAACCTGCGGAGGAAGTGTTGTGGAAATCCTCCGGGACCCACAGTTTCACCAAAAACTGATGAGTGGAATATGGTGCAAGACAATAATATTGTCCCATCTTGCCGCAAGTTGGTCTCTTTGCATGTGACTCTTAGACGCAGGGGGGCACGGGCCCAGCTGGGTTCTTGGCTGTGATAGAACGGACTCAACTCACCAACCTCCCTGAGCAGGGCCGTTGGCCTACTTACTAGAAGGCAGAGGGCAAATGTTTATTATTTAAGGGGGTCCCTGTTCTGGCCTCTGCCTCTGCATGGCAGCCCCTGCCTTCCCCTCATGCACCCAGGGCTCTTATGCCCTCTCCCTTCCCCCACTCTCTCGAAGGCAGCTCTCTGAAAGGAACTGGGAAACTCACTCACACGAAGGGGGAAATGAACGGTGACGGCTCCCAGGCGTGCAGCAGTCTAATGGTGGGAGAAGTGCAGGCGTGAGCAGGTGCAGAGGGGAGGATGATGGGAACGGGTATGTTCCCAGGAAATGCTGCCACAGAAGGCACTCCGTATCCATCTCACATCTGGTGGCCCAGCACCAGGGGTTGTGTGCACATGGTTTTGTGCAAGGGAAGAACGAGATCTCACTGGGGCTGCCAGCCGACCCTCTGCCATGCTTGTCCTTTGAGGCCTGCTGCTGCCGCCCTCTGTCCTTTCTCTCTCCGGCCCTCCAGGTGTCGGGAGCCTCAGCTTCCCAGTGTTGCTCCAGGGCTGGACCCCAAGGGTGGCTGAGCTGGGTCAACAGGAATTGAGCTGCTTCCAAGATAGGGCACCGTTCTGCAAGCCATTTCCAGACGAGTTTTGCAGCTGGGCAAACGCCGTGCCTCTGCGAGGACCCTGAGCGCTCTCACCGGGCGCCAGGTGTGTTCTGAGCTCAAGTCCCTCCGGGGTGAGTCCATGAGACCCTGTCCCCTCGCTTCGTGTTTCCTACTCATCCCGAGGCGAGAGGCAACCATCACCCGTGGCTCTCCCGGTTCGTCCCAGGAAGCGTCTAGAAATTGCGCGTGTGGGAATAAGGTGAAAACCACCCTGACGTGGCTGCCAAGGGGCCAGACTCTGGGTCCAGAAGAGAGGGGAGCCTCTTGCACATCTGAGCGAGGCAACTGACTAGTTGATGCTCAACTTGGTGCTGGTTCTAGCCCCCAGCCTTTACTATATTCTTTGGAGCTATGTAAAGTCTTCCACGATTTCAATGAATCATTTTAAGTTAACAGAATAAATAAAAGCTCCTTTACAATGCATTGCAGTCTCCAAGATTTGCCCAGAGGGTTTAAAACGGATGCTCTGAAGCCATCGCCGGCCAGGAAGAAACCACTATGTTGTCCTGTGACGCGGCTCTCTGAGTATTTAATTTTGGGTTGGTCACATGTCTCTGTTCCCTTTTGTGTTTACTATTACAGCCGCCTTCTGCCTTCCTGACTCCTGCCGCCCTGAGAGAATACTGACTGTAGTCCCCCTTGCCCCGCCACCACCCTAGACGCCCACCTAGCGAACCAGGACGCGCAGCGGAAGGGAAAGCCCCACCTGCACAGGAGACCCAGCGCCCGGCCCACCGCCGAGGCCCTGTCTCCAGAGGGTGAGTCCTTGTCTGGGCCTGGCCATGGGATGTTTGCTTAAGGTCACAGACCTCCTGGTGCCCAGATTCTCTGTCACTGGGAGTGGATTACCCACAATTCTGCATGGTAGCAGAGGCTGGGACTGGACAACCCAGGGATAACATGCACAACTCCCGAATTGTATCCAGTATTTCTGCCTGGGAAGAAAAATAGCTACAAGTATCAAAACGGAGAAAAGGAGCTTTAAAACAAAAGTGCACAAATACGGAGCATTCTAGAAGCCAAGGAGCAACTGTACACAGGCATCCAGACCTTGTGGACGCCCCTTCCTTTCCTGGCACACCTCGCCCCACGGCAGCTCCACTCCTCCTCCTCCTCCTCCTCCACCTCCTCCTCCTCCTTCTCCTCCTCCCCCTTCTCCCCCGTCACCTTCCCCTCCTCCTCCTCAGTGGCCTCCCCACCCACAGCCTGCCTCCCTGTCACAGTCCACGCACACTCTTGCCTGACCCCCTGCTCAAAACCTTCCACAGGTACCCCCCTGAGAGCGGCTGGGCTCCGAGCTCATGGCCTTGGATTTAGAGTCCCCACCGCCGGGCACCATCTTCCCAGCTCCCTTGGTCAACCCTCTGCTACTTCAGCCCAGCAATGGCTTCTGGGACGCACCGTGGCCCTCGGTACCACTGAAGCTTGCTCCCCTTCGGCCTGCCGTGCCGCCCTCCTCTTCCACCTCCTCACCCTCTGGCCCCTGAAGCTCAGTCCCAACTCCAAGACGCTTCCTTGCCCACCCAAGGCCACAGCGACCTTGCCCCTCCTAACCTCCTGGAGGACTTATGCCCAGAGCGAGTGCATCTACTGCCCAGGCTGGGCATTTCCTGCAGGTGCACCTTGGGTTTGCCCGCCTGTGGGGGGCATCTAGGTAGGTGCAGTGACTGTTTGTGTGGCTTTGCATTGTCTGTGGAGTCTAAGGTCCCTGTCTGCATAGAGAAAGGGTGCGAGTATTTGCTGATTGTACATAATTCTGGCTGCCTGTTTCAGGGGCAAGGTGAAAGGTGAAATGGGCCTGAGTTGCACCAAGATGCTCTTTGACCAAGTGCAGGAAAGATGGCCGGTCCAGCAGTCATGTTTGCAAGGCACTCCCAAACCGGGGAGGGGGAGGGGTCCCTTAGCATCAGCGCTGCCAAGCCTTCTCTTTATCTGTCTTACTCTCTACACCGCCCGCCCCTATGGCACATGGAACCCCTCCCATCCCTCCGCCCCGCCAAGCCCTCCAGTGGTATCTCTGCTTTAATCAACCTAGAAATATGACTAGTATCAAAAATATCCCCGTCAGATTGCAACGACTGTGGGGCTCCTCGCGCTGGCTTCCAGCCAACCAGCCGCTATTCATGCTGGCAAGGCACAGTTTAAAAAAAGAAAGGCTTCTATAAGCTCGCAAGAATGCGTGGTGACAGTCAAGGCTAAGCACTTTCCAGCTGGGTTCACCGGGGCATCTATTTTGGCGTCCTGGCCTCGCCGGTGTGTCAGGGGAGAGCAGAGCGAGAGAGCAGGCTCCGGGCCCTACCTGGCTGCTGGAACATCAGCATGTTCTGGGGGGAAGTGTGCACGGGCAGCGAGCGGGTCCTCTGCACGGAGCTGTGGGTGCGGCTTGGCATGCTGTTGCTGCCCCCGGGGTTGGCAAACCAGAGGTTCTAGTGAGAAACACAAAAGGGGGACCGTGAGTCCAGATACCCTGGGGTGGGGTGCTGGGGGTGGGCAGCAGGGTCCCCCCCCCCGCCCCCAGAGCTCAGGAGACGAATACTCTAACTTCTGGCATGAGGCTTGCAGGCCAGCGCTGCCCATCTGCTTATTTATAGTGAGGGCTTTTAGGTTCCATTCCTTTTAGCTACATGCCCATTGCTCCCACCTCCTGAGCCCCAGGCTCCTCTCTAAACCTCAGTTCAATCTGGACACCTCTCTCCCTATCCCCCTCCCTATTATCCCTTTTGTTGCTTTTGCTTTTCTTGTCATTTTTCTTGGAAATGGGGGGAGAGAGGGTTTATAGATATTTGCCACGAAGAGCACCATTTCAGGTGCCAACTAATCTCATTTGATTTCTTTGAGATTCTTACAAGTTACTACAAAGTGGGGGGTGGGGGGGCAGGGGAAGAAGCCCTGATCGGCAATGAGCTGGCACAACTGGGCTTGTGTGTGTTACTATGTGGCGACTTCCTCTTGGACTGACCTGGGGGCTGCCCACAATGACCAGAACTCGGGGCTTTTTCATACCCCGCTGCTCCCCGGGGAGCCAATCCCGCCTGTGGTGCCTGGAGCTGTTTTCCTGTTTTTAGACCAATCTGTCACCCCTGCATTTCTCAGGACAACCCAGAACTTCGAGCCCACTTGTGTCCCTGCAGTCCCAGCCCCAACCTACACGGCCCCACAAAGCTGGAGGTACATGGATGGGAGGCACTGGGCAGGGTGTGGGACGGGGGCAGAGGGCCATGGGGCCGCGGGACAGGGGTCAGCTCTAGGTCACACATCTAGGTCACACAGCTTTGTCTGGCGGAGAGGGTTTCACCCCTCCCTCTGGAGGCCTCTCCAGCTCCTTCCTGTGGCTTCTCGCCCACAGCCGGACCACAACGAAGGAGCTACTTGCCACGAACAAAAAAGCTAAGCAAGTTCCTTAGAGGCGGAGGTTCCTCTGGAACCCAGTTTGGGAAGTGGTGAGGTCTGCTGGGGCAAGTCAAGGGTCGGGGCAAACAATAAACAGGTATTACATTTCTTTCTAAAGGCACCCTTGCTCGGGGCCCCCAAGGTTGAAGTGGTCCCAGGGGCACCCTACACCACCCTCCGTGAGGCCAGGCGAAGCCACAGCCCTGGTTTATCTCCCGGAGGAACAACGCAAACGACGTCGGTAACGCAGAGGACAGGGACACTGTCTCTCAGCTTAGCCCCCCTCGGCCTCTCCCCTCACCTTGGGGTCATCTGGGGAAACATCCTGCAGCCTCGGGCGCTGAGCTTGGCTGCCCACCCTCCTCTCCGGTGCAGAACAAACCTGTCTTCCTTGTTTCATGATGGTGGGGTTGGCTGTGGTGTTGCGCTGGGTGGAGCTGACGAACCCGCTGGTGCCCAAGAGGCCCAGGCGGGCAGAAGGGACGTTCCGAGAAGGGATCTGGTACTGGCGTGGGTTCCGTCTGCCCATGCCGCCGCCCACAGAGCCGGCCGTCGGGAGGGAGTTGGACTGCCCAAAGCCGCGACTGTGGGAGCGAACAGAGAAGAACCAGGGAGCATGAGTCCCCTGCAGCCATCTTACCCCACAGGCTGCCTGTGGGACGCCTCCTGGAGGCGGCGAGGGGGGGGGGTGGTCTGCTCGAATTTTGACAGTCATAAGGCCTATGGGGTCCTGGGGGGTCTGAGCCAGGAAAGGGCTATGATTAAAACGACAGCTGACAGCTGAGAGCAACGGTTACGTGCACCATCAGGGCACTATTACACTGATTCTTCCATCCTCACGACAACCCAATGAAGTAGGCGCTCTACCCACTTTTATTTACTGGAGAAGTAAATAGAGCTTAATAGTTTCGCGAAGGTCACTCAGCCAGCAGGGAGCAGTGCTGGCAGCCCTGAGGTTTAACCAGGCCGCTCCTGGGCCTTCTTCCAAGCTGGTCACAGGGCCCAGAGCACTCACACCCCTGTCAAGAGGCCACAGAGCAAGAAGGCTGCACAGCCAGGGTCAATGTTCCTCCCATCAAACCACAGTCTTCCCCGATGTCCGTCTGGCTCTGTGGGAGACTCGGGGACAGTGGCCTGGGAGCCCCCTAGGATGTCAGCTCCCTGAAAAAAAGGTCGACGTCTGTCCTCGTCAAGCCTACGTGTTCCGTGACCGAATCAGCTCCTGACACGGCAAAGGCATGTTGAATGAATGAAAGAATGGACACGCCTCTGCCATCAGGGCGCCTCTCCACATGGCAGGACTGACCCACGGTGGAGGCGCTGACTCCAGGGTATGGAGGAGGGATAGGAGAATGGAGATGGTGGTGTTTGGCCCCCGGACAACCTCTGCTCCCCACTGCGCAGGCCCTCCCTGCAGAGACCAGAGGCTGCGTGTCCCCCCTGGGTCCACGCAGGACGGCGGCCGGAGACCCAGGCGGCGCACTCGGAGGCTGTGCTGCCTTCGCTGCTGTGACCTCATCTCCAAAGCACTTGTCCTCTCTCACAGGCCTCAGGTTCTGGGAGGGCGCGCGGCCGCCAGCGGGGTTTCAGGAACCAGCACATTCTTTCCAAGAAGAGTCAGCTTTAGTCATTCACTGATGTTTAGGTCGAAATGCTTTACCTCCAATGGCCACAAGATGGAACAGACTCGCTTTCCCCCCACCGTGCAGGGGAGGTTTGTGCCAAGCCTGTGAGGAGACTCCCGGAGACAGGGCTGACGTATTTCACCAGTTGAGGATGATGGGGTGGGGGTGGGGGGCCCTGCTAAACAGTCATTTCCTGAGGGAGAGTTGTGTGTGCCTAGGGGGAGGGGCCCCTAAGCCATCAGCACAGCAGATCTCAGGAAATGTTTCTCTTTCCCCAGTGCTCCTCTTTTCCCAGGGAGAGAGGGAGGGCAGGGAAGAGAATTCCACGGTGAGCTGGCTGAACTGAGTTCTGGGCTATGTCTTTCCACTTCCAGGCTTTTGTGGCTCCTCTGCGCGCGGTGAGAAGGGGCACTCCTGGGTTCTAGGTCTCTTTGTTACCTCATCCTTCCTCCCTCTTCTGCCCCTCTTTCTTCTTTGACTAAGGTTTCAAACGTTTGGTTTGAAAGAGGAAATTCAAGCCAGGTGGGGTAGGAGTCCTTTCATGGGATCCCAGAGACTTCCCCTGGAGGAAGGACCATCTGAGTGACTGACAGATGGAGAGCAAGCAGTGGTTTTGGTTGTGTGTGTGTGTGTGTGTGTGTGTGTGTGTGTGTGTGTGTGTGTTAACTATGAAAACTAGGCCTTTGGTTTTTGAGTCAGAATTTTGGCCACCTGGTAGATGATTCAGTATTCTGCTAAGACTTTTCCTTATTTAGTGCGAATGGCTTTTTTTCCCCCTCTCGTTTTCCTTTTCAGTTGGATTTTTTAAAAGTTACTTCATATGCAAAATACAGTAGTCAGTGAACATGCTAAAAGGATGTGCGCTTCCAGGAAGGCAGAGTATATCTTGAGCAATAGAATGTGGGCAGAGGGTTCTGTTATGGGCCACTGGAGGAACAAGGGCTCTAGGCACTCCAGAAGTGAGGACTCGCTGGCTGGTGGGAAAGCCCTGGACATTTTGGGGACAGAATGGGTGGGTGGGGAGAATTTGGCTAGGCCGTCTTTCTAATGACGGTGGGGCTCTACTGTGGCGTCCTTAATAGGTTATTACAAAGCCAGGGTTGTTGAGCGGTGCCACTGCTGGCAACCAGAGTGAACGCTTAGGTTACTTAAGATCACTAGGCTTAATGAGATAATCATTTCTTCTGGGGAGAGAATAAAGCGACAAAAGTAAATTTTCATTTTTCATTCTCTTCCTCTGCCCATTTGCGTCTCTGTGCCTTCCTAAATCTAACCAACTGATTTCATTATCTTGAAATGTGTGAAAAGACTAAATAAGAACCAATTAATTTGGGATTTGGGATAATTCAAGCAGGGGGTGGGCAGCAGATACCTTTGTATTACTGGAGAAACGGGTCTTCAAAGCAAATTAATAGCATAAGAAGATCCCAGAGGTAATACATAGGAGAACAAATTATTTTCTAGAGCTTTAGCAGCCTCCAATTGAACATCTACAATTGAGGATTAAATTCATTCTTATCTAATCCATAAAAAGAGGTCCACTTGGACTCCAATCTGGCAAACCTTAGGTTAGCCCAAAACAAGCTTTAGGTAGTCACACTCTAGAGAGGTCAAGGTTAACCAAGGACAAGGCAGGGCAGACAGAGGCAGGGGATGAAACTTTGGGGTGAGAAGCAAAGCCCTTAAAAGCTCTATCTTCATGGTCAACTTCTAACTTCCTTATTCTGCTTGGAACTTGGCTCCCAAGGGGCTGGTGTAGCAAGAGGGGCTGGCACCTCCTCCTCATCCTTGGGAGAAGTGTTGCTGTCCATACAAGAGGAGGGGGGGCGGTGCCCCAGGGGAGGGGCCTGGACTTTCATCAGGGTGCAAAGCTGATCCAGCCCAACTCACCAGGGAGGCACCCCAGAGGGCATGGGGCCAGGGAATGGGAAATAAAGAGTGTTGCTTGACCTGCCCATCTTTTCTGCACAAAGACCATGAGAGCTGCCTGGCATCCACAGTGGTTAAGAGCACTGACCCTGGCGCTGGCCTGCCTGAACCAAATCCTGGATGCCATCGCCTACCGACTCCTCCGTAAAACGAGGCTGACAGCAGCTCCTCTACCTTACATGGTTGTTGCAGGATTAAATGTACTAATATTCTTATCGTGCTTGGATAATTGGCACATAGTAAGGGTTAAATGTTTGTTTAATAAGTAACCGTGTTGTATAGGCTGGATAATTCATTTTTTACATTAATCTTTAATAAAGACTTCACAAATTTCAACGGGCCTTACCTCCCTTAAATAATATCCAACAGTGATGTTGGAAGGCACACTTATGCAAATAAATGCACTGAGAAATGAATTCAGAACTTTTCAGGTGCAAGTCAAAACATTATGTGCTCATGTTTAAAAATGCAAAAATAAATGGAATGTGGATTTTGAGGATGTTCGCATCATCATTCTCTTGTCTCCCCAAAACTCCCTGTCATTGTACAAGGCTTAATCCACGCCTCCCCTTAATTAACTGGCACGGTAATTCACCTTTCATATGCTATTGGATTCCTCAATTTAAAGCCAGATCAAGGGAAGGGGGTCTCAAGTACAATAAGGCTTATTTTTAACTGCATCCAAGAACCTGAAGCACTATGAGAAACCGAGAACGGTGCTGCTCCACTCTTAGATTGCAACTCAGACCAAAATAGACTAGCACTGGGCTCTTCACCCTGCCACCAACTATAATTAGCTTGTCTGCAGCTAGAAGAGAGAAAAAAATTACACGACCACTTAAGGTGCTGAGAGAACAATCCGTTTTTGTCCTTTCAGAGCCCCCTTTTGGGGATAAACTACCAAGTGTTCTGCTGGCGTTCATTAAATTATATCCACTCTCTGCATCCGGACGAACGCTGTCACTTTGACAATGTCAATTGAGTTACAAAAGATCGCATTCAGCTCTTCCTCTGGGAATGCTCTCTCTACACAGCCTTTCCCAACCCCACCTGTTTAAGGACGGCGATTTGGAACTTGCCACAGGGCACCTTGATGACCAAGGAATGCCCTGCCTTGTCCTGCCCTGGGAACCCAGGCAGGCAACGAGGCACCTGGGAGCCACCATGCATTACAAACAATGAAATCCCAACGTACTTTCTTTGCTGTCGATATCCTGATATGTCTAGAAGGGTTTTCCGAGGGAAAGACCGAAAGAGCTTCTGCACCTGCTGTTTCCATGACAACAATCTTTTTTTCTGCGTCTCTGTAAATGCCTGCAAAAACAAACAGGATTTTTTAATGGGTGACGCAGCCTAGCATTAGAAGGAGAAACATGCAATTAATAGGGGAAAACATTGGCGTCTCTGTGGTTGCCTTTTTTTCACCTGTTTCCAAGCTGGTTCAAACAGCAGTCAGTTTCATAACTGAAAATTCAAGTTATTTGGCATTGGAGGTGCCTGGTACGGAACATGCATTAAGCTTTTAAAAAAATATGTATTTTTTTTTATTGATTTCAGAGAGGAAGGGAGAGAGACAGAAACATCAATGATGAGAGAGAATCATTGATCGGCTGCCTCCTGCACGCCCCACACTGGGGATGGAGCCCGAAACCTGAGCAATGTGCCCTGACCAGGAATCAAACTGTGACCTCCTGGTTCATAGGTTAATGCTGAACCATTGAGCCAAGTCAGCCGGGCAAACTCTTGATAACCCTTGGTTTTGGTTGCATTTCTGGTAGGTCCATACCCACCTTCTCTTGCCTCTGACTCCACTCTGGACTCTATTTATTAACCAAGAATAAATTGCTAAATTGATTGTTGAATACTCTGGCTTCTGGAGGCCCCCGGCATTTTCATAATCAATGGAAATGCTAAACCACTCCAAAAATCAATATGCTTGATAGTGTGTGGACACCCTGAGTGGTCAGCTGGGCTTCAGAACATGGAGTTTAGTCTCTGCATTTCAGGGCTGGGCTGAGAAACTTCTAGTGAAGGGATCTGGTGCCCTACCAAAACCCCACTGCACCCCGTCCTAACCTAAATTGTCTGAAGTTTAGGAAGATGGGTAGATCTGATTGCTTCTTGAGTCTTTTCTAGTAAAATTGGTGTTGGGGGATGTTGTGCCTACTTCCCTGTAATACGCTGTCATCTACATCATGTGTTCTTTTGTGTGCACCATGGCCCAGGGAAGGACTTTCAGGGGTTATTTGTCATGGTCTATTAGATTTCCCAAAGAGACCGGTTAAAATGCGGATTCCTAGGCCCCTCCCCCACACTTGGGTGCGCACATACAGTGCGATTGAAACTTCGTGGCCCATGAGCAGAAGTCGGTATTTTGTGGAAGAGCCACACTCAAGGGGCCAAAGAGCCGCATGTGGCTCGCGAGCCGCAGTTTGCCGACCACTGCCCTGGTAATTCTGCTGCAGGCAGCACTTGGACGTGGAGTGCTCGAGATGATGAGGACCACACACACAATTCAGGAATCCTGTCAAGTATCTAGAACTGTGGTCCACACGCTGTGGAAATCCATCGGGTTTGACAGATCAGCATTAACAATGATGGAGATAACACGCCTAGGTAGTTTTGTCAATAAGGCATGAAATTTAAGAAGCAATAAGCTATTACTTAGAATAACAGACTACATGATTACTTTCCATGAAGGAAACAGATTTCTGAAACAGAGGGGGAAAAATAGAAAGACAGCTTAATTTTCTTCTGATGACATTTAATCTTTAAGGACCTAAACACAAGAGAGTTATGTGAACAAAAACAAAAAGGTATCAGTCATATTGCAGAAAAGTTATTGACTTACAAACTGCTTCCCCCTGGGTGACCTTAGCCAGACACCATTAAGGGTACGCATCAAAGAGGGCTACCAACCAAGGGACCCAGTGCCCCATTAGAGAAAGAGGTGCAGACCCCCCACTCAGGTGAGTGGCAGGACAGTTTCATGGCTGAAAGGCGAGGACCTGGTTCTCCTCCGTGGTCCCTCTCATTTTTGGTGATGCTCGGTGAGTGTCCAACTACACAGGACCACCTCTGAAAACTGCGACAGGCAAACACATCTGCTGGACTCACAAAGGGATGGATAGATTCTGCTTTTGACGGGCTCATTCAGCCAGATGTTAAGTGAGGACACAAGATGCAGGCACCCTGGTCGAGATGAGATGAGGAGGAGGGCCCTGCCAGTGGGTCAGAGGAAAGCCCTGGATGCACACGGGAGGGTGCGAATCCCCACACTCCCTTATGCGAATCCCTCCACCTGAGACTCTGCTCCTTCTAAAAGCTGAGGGTGATAATGTCTCCCTCTAATGGACGCTGTAAGGATGAAATGAGATAACACACGAAAAGCACTCAGAATACTTAAGAACATGCCTGGCTCTTAGTAATGATTCCACCCACGCCACTCACAGATACTCTAACCGGCTATTTTCAGTTGCGTGGACCAGCCCTTGGGTGGTGGCATGTGTGTGTTTGTCACAGTTGGTGTTCAACAGCCACCTTTTAGCCCCAACAAATGACTTCAAGGTCTCAAAACTAGAGTCCTGAGCTGGTTTGGAGCCAGACTGGAGGACAAGCCTGAATTTCAAGTGACAAAGGAGTTAATGGTTCACTCGATAGATGTGCATTTAAAGTGTTTCCAGGGACAGCAGTTCACACATGACCTTGGCCACGGGGGCAAAGAGCATCTGAAAAGATGGACATGTAGGCACCTCCAAGGAGGGGTCAGCTCACTCACTCCGCACCTGGGCCTCAGGCTCCTTTAGTGGGAGCGAGCCCCCAGCAGTGCGAGTGAGTGTGGAGGCCAGTTCTCAGTCCTGGGAGGGGCAGCTGGGAGCAGGAGCGCTGGGCCATGGCGGGCTCCCAGTGGTTTTTGAAGGCTGGTTCCTGCGCTCCGCCATCGGCTGGGACGGCTGGTACTACCCCTCAGCCCCCTCCACCCTGGGCTGGAGGGGAAGGAAGATTCCACACTGCAGGCTGCCCAGACACAGCCAGCCAGCCACTGCTCCGTCTTCTGTCCCTGTCAGGCCCAGACCAATCCGTCTGTCTGGAGGAAGATGTGTCCTGCAGCTTTGGTGGCTGGATAAAAAGCCTCATTAAGGGGACAAGCACTCAGATTCCCAGAACCTTGTCAAGACCGCAAGCAGGCAATATGCCTGGGATTACAATCCATGAGGAAGGGGTTGGTCCCAGATACAGAATCCAGAACTTGCCTATCCTTCCTTTTCTTTCTCTAGGGAGTCGGTCCTTCATCCCCGGGAAGGAAGGTGCCTTGGAAGTAACCACACCTCCCCTTGCAGTGGGCGGAGCAGCAGCAGCAGTAGCAGCAGCAGCAGTAGCAGCAGCAGCAGTAGCAGCAGCAGCAGTAGCAGCAGCAGCAGTAGCAGCAGCAGCAGTAGCAGCAGCAGCAGTAGCAGCAGCAGCAGTAGCAGCAGCAGCAGTAGCAGCAGCAGCAGTAGCAGCAGCAGCAGTAGCAGCAGCAGCAGTAGCAGCAGCAGCAGTAGCAGCAGCAGCAGTAGCAGCAGCAGCAGCGCTGTGGGCTGAGGAAGGCAGCCCTGTCCGGAGCCCAGGCTGACCTCCCCTCTGGCCGCAGGGAGGGTGCGTTCTCTTACACACAACCCAGGCCTGTGGAAAATGATTCAGACACGTTTCCTCCTTCTCAACTAAAATAATAAAAAGGCTTGAACAACATTTTCCCTTCCAAAGCAGAGCGCAGGCCCTCCATCCCGACCTGAATTCAGACAAGCGGACTCGGCCTGAGCTCCTATCTGCCCTGACTCCCGGTACCGAGAGGCCCCTTGCCTGGGCCTCCTGCCGGCAGAGGAGCCCTCAGTGTCATCTTTGCATTGGGTCACTGGGCATCGGGGAGAAAAAGTGGAAAGAAGCAAAAAGAAGAGCCACGATGCCCAGGGAGGGCACACCCGAGGCAGGCCAGTGATAAGCCTCAGGCCACAGCTGTGGGGCTGGTGTGGTCCAACTAGGAAGCAGAGGTGGCGGAGGACGGTCACTCTGCCTCCTGGGCTCAGCCGGCTAGTGGAGGCAACCTGTCCTCCACTGCTCAGAGTGAACGTGGGAGAGGAAGCAGGGATCTGCTTTGCTTTCTCAGAAGTTTAAAGGTTCCCTTCTCGAAATCCTCCCCAATGGTCTTCCCTAACAAGACACAGAACCCCCCAAAACACTGCCTGTCTGCCTGGATCACTCTCCTGCCTCCTTCCTCACCGAGCCATGAGACTCTGCCTGCCTTTTGGGCGAGCTGAGCGTGGGGGCAGCCCCTCTGAGGAACACCTGCTTCTGGCTCGGGCAGGTGCCTGCCACTCCTCATCTGGGCTCTGGGGCATGCCGGGAGGGCCTCTCAGAGGCTTTATCGTCGTGTACATGACAACCTGTTTTCCCTGCGTCTCACCCACGACCCTCACCATAAGGTGCCTGGCCAGGGCCAGGGGGAGTGATAAATATCTATGGAATGAATGAGTTCAGAAATTCGTCACTGTGCTCTTGTCTTCTGTCTGTGGCTTTTTGCTGGTCAAAACAAGTGCAGGGCCAGGACTGGAAATAGAAAAGATTGAGTGGGGGCGGGGAGGGGGGAGTTGGGGAGAGGCACATAAAAGAATGGATGCCGCTGTGAGAGAAAATTGCAAAAATGAGATTTTAGGGGGTGGGGGAAGCGTGGCTGGAGTGGAAACCCAGCAGGAGATTTGACACCTGCACACGAGGATGGGCAGAGTCAGAGCACGGAGGTGGGGGCCCCAGGGAACTGACCACACAGGGAGGGTGGGTGAGGGGCCAGACCTCTGCACTGGCTATCTCCCCAAACTGGGGGCCCCTGGACTCCCAGGGTTCTGGCCGCCACCACAGCAAAGGTGAGGAGACTTGGAGGCCTTTACCATCTTATTCTCATGTCAAAACCCCACAAAAAACCTCAATGCTCTAGGGCAGTGGTCGGCAAACCGCGGCTCGCGAGCCACATGCAGCTCTTTGGCCCCTTGAGTGTGGCTCTTCCACAAAATACCGACTTCTGCGCATGGGCCACGAAGTTTCAATCGCACTGTACGTGTGCGCCC